ACAACTATTAAAAATTCATTGTTTACAATTTTATATAAAATATCATTTCTTATCTCATATTCTTAGTTTTACAATTTCTTATTAACACAAAAATATTAGCTAATTCATTATCTTCATGCTGTGCTCTCTTTAATTTACAATAATCATAATCAAATAATTCAAATAAATCAAAACATTTGGTAATGGGTTTCTACTAAGTGCATCGACATGTGACATTCGTTTGCCTGGTCTGTGTTCGATTTTATATTGAACTTCTTCCAACAACAGGGCCCATCTTGCAACTCTCACACACAAATCTTTCTTATTCATAGTCATTTGAAACGCTTGGCAATCAGTTACTATTGTAAACGGTATGCTTAATAAATATACTCTAAATTTCTTTAACGCCTTTACTATTGCTAGCACCTCGAGCTCATAGCTGGTATATTTTTCTTCTGCGGAGGTAATTTTACCACTCGCAAAATATACTGGGTAAAACTTCATGTCATCTGTGTCTCTTTGCATTAATATTGCTCCATATCCTAAGCGCGATGCATCCGTATGCAGTTCAGTTTCTGCATTTACGCGATAGATCTTTAAAACCGGCTTTGAACATAATGCAGATTTCAGTGTTTCAAATGCTTCTACCTCGGCTAATCCAAAATTAAATTTAACGTCGGCTTTTAATAAATTCGTCAACGGGCGAGCTATCATAGAGTATCGCAGTATGTACTTTCGCAAATAACCTGTAAGGCCCAAAAAACTTTGAATTTCTTTAATACTACCCGGCTTAGGAAAGTTAGCTACGGCGTTTGTTTTATGTTCTGAGGGTCTAACGGTGCCATTTTCAACAATGTGACCTAAGTATTCTACCTAGTTATGATATCTAAAATACTTTGTAATAATTATAAGACGCAACGTCAGCATGCAACGCATGTAAGAATAGTAATCTTTTCAGGGAATTGCATTGTTCTGATATTAATTAGCTTACTAAGATATTGAATAAAAAATGTAATGTTAATAATTGTGATTAATTAAAATCAGTTGTTGTTCCACTGTTAACCTGTTAACATCTTGATTGAATTATAATTAACGCACATAGTGTATTATTGTTTTCTTTCAACGGGGCAGCAGCTCATGTTTTTCTTAGCCAGTCGAATTTCAATCTTAAAAATAAAAAGCGTTTTTAAAAAGTAAATTCGGCGGCAGAAAACATTAACTGGCGCAGTCTTGTGGATTTTCAAAGACTTTTTCGGTGTTGCATTTGCGTTCGTGTGCGCGTGGAAGAAATCCCAAAATCACTAGCACCCCGAAAAACGAGAAGATCAACGAACCAACAAGGGTCTTCCGACCGACCAAAATCAAAGGGACCAGGAACCGAAGGAGGTCTTCCAACCCATCGAGGCTCTGAGAAGCAACCACCTCAACCCCCTGCAAAAACACACAAAGGGACCAGGAACCGAAGGAGGTCTTCCAACTCATAGAAGCTCTGAGAAGCAACCACCTCAACCCCCTGCAAAACACACCAAAAGGGATCAGGAACCGCAGGAAGTCTTCCAACTCATCGCAGCTCTGAGAAGTAACTACCTCAACCCCCTGCAAACAACGCAACTTCAAAGTAAGTGATCAATTTTGTTTATCTTTCAAAAAGTGTAAAGTGCATCGAAATATTAAGAAGAAACCAACGTAATTAATATAAGTTAGATTTAGCAATTTTACATGTCTGTAGAAATCTTAGATTTAGAGGATTTAAATCAGTCTATTAACTCAATTAGAATAAGCGACGTATTTAACACAAACGAAACAATTATGCCGAACCAAAATACAGAGTCATTAATTAGTGCAGCTAGAAATTATGGTGAGATTTTACCTAAATTTGAGGGAAAGAGTAGTAATTTAGAGACTTTCATTCTTAGGGTAGATAGCTTTTACCAAAAATATGGTAATACTGCAGATGTAACACTAAACGAGTATGTATATTGTTTGATTTGTAACAAATTAACAGGAGAAGCTAGCGATTTTGTAACTTGTAGACCAGATATTAACACTTGGATATTACTCAAGGAAGCTCTTAGACATAAATTTGGCGATTTTACTGATCGTAAGATCTTATCACATCAATTTAAAATGCTAAAAATTAAACAAGATGAAAATTTGGTAGAATTCATAGAAAGAATTAGGTCAGTACAGACAAGATTAGACATTAAAACACAGTCAGATTCAGCTTTAACTCGAGAACAAAAACAAATTCATAAGGAAATCAATGAACAAACAGCTTTAGAGGTGTTATATAATAACAGCCCAGCAATGTTACAAACTATAATGGACGTTAGGGAACACGCAACGCTTTCAGCGGCAACTAATACAGTTCTAAATTTCATCACAAAACATCCTCCCGAAAAGCAAAAGACTAATATTTCCCCAAAGGTTCACATTAACCAACCGATTAACAACCAATTCCAAAACCAAAACTTCACCCGAACTTCCCAAAATAATTCATTTGTAAATCGTGGGAATGTAGCACAAAATACATCGCGAAATAATTTCACAAATCAACCAAGAATGCAATCATTCCAACAAAGAAACTATAACCCAAACACACAAAATAATTACACACCAAGAAGTACATCTCAAAATCAGAATAGTTTTAGACAATTAAATCAAAACACGAATAGAGTAAACAATACTCCAATTACAAGAAACACCCAAAATTTACCACCAGATAATAGTTTAAGATCAAGCACATTTCAACGTACAGCTTTTAAAAATTGGCGTCAACCGCGCATAAATTGCACGGAAGTTGAACCAGTAGATTACGAAAATCAAAATTATTGTGAGGACGAAAATTACTATGAAAATCAGAATTATTGCGAGGAAACCAACCCCGAATATTTCCCAGAGGACTACTATAATTGTAATAATACGGAAGAAATTAATTCAGTAGGTTGTAATAATGAACAATTAAACCAAGATCATGTAGATGTCGTAAATTTTCAACCACCTGCCTCGGACAACAATTAAATAATAGCTTTTTAACAAATTTCAATAGTTTTAGCACGTTACCATGCATAATGTTACAGATAGGAGAAAACACTCATTTAAAAATTCTTGTAGACACTGGCGCTACAAATTCACTAATTAATCCTAAGGTAGCTTATAATTATTTTCAGGACTATATTTATAAAGAATACTTTTTACTTAGAACTATAATGACGGAAACAACACATAACGAATGTCTTAACGTAGATCTATTCCAGGAAGAGCAAAATTTAAAATTTTTCTTAGTTCAATTTCATAAGGACTTTGATATCCTTTTAGGATCAGATAATTTGGAAATTATGAATGCGAAAATAGACTACGAGATAGGGTCAATAGTATTAAATAATGTTATTCATCCTTTAACGCGTTATGACACTCAAATTGCAACAAAATTAGAGAAAAAGAAATTTTCAGTACCAATAAGAAAAGGACCGATATTAGTACCTCAACAAGAAGTAAATGGCGTAATAATCCCAGAAACATTAACAACCGCAGATAATTATCACTGCGAGGTTCCAATTTTTGGCACATCAAAAATAAAAACCCCAACAAAGACAAAAATTAAAGTACGACATATAAATCAAAGCGAGCTAGACGTTTGTAGTATGTTTACAGCTAAACCATGTAAAAACGCAACAAGTACACTTCCTTTAGATTTATCTCATTTACCACAGAACGAAAATAGAATAGTTAGGAACTTATGTGAAGAATATAAGGATATCTTTTATAAAGAAAATGACGTATTAACTTTCAACAATACAGTTAGGCACAAAATACCTTTAAATTCAGAAATTCCAGTTTACGTTAAGCCTTATAGATTCCCACAAGTGCAACGCAACGAGATAGATAGACAGGTTGAAGGATTAAAAAGACAAAACATCATCACGGAGAGTGAATCCCCATATAATTCACCTATATTTTTAGTACCCAAAAAACCGGATAAGAACGGAAAGGTCAACTGGCGTATGGTAGTAGATTTTAGGAAGTTAAACGAAAGAACTATAGAGGACAAATACCCTATACCAAATATTGCGAACATTTTAGATCTTTTAGGCAATTCCAGTTATTTTTCTAAATTAGACTTGAAAAGCGGCTATCATCAGATCGAGATAGAACCAGCAGATAGGGCAAAAACAGCATTTTCAACAGAACGCGGACATTGGCACTTTCTAAGAATGCCATTCGGACTTAGAAACGCACCTGCTTGTTTCGCTAGGGTAATGAACAGCGTATTACAAGGATTAATTAACAAAATTTGTCTCGTTTACCTCGATGACATAATTATTTTAGGAAATAGTTTTCAGGAACATGTAAAGAACATACAAACAGTTTTTGACAGACTTAGACAACATAACTTTAAAATACAGCTAGAGAAATCAGAATTCTGCTTACGCGAAATTGAATACTTAGGACATCTTATAACGACCGACGGTATCAAGCCAAACCCGAAATTAGTGGAAAAAATTAAGAAAGTTCAATTACCTACAACTATTAAACAGATTAAGTCATTCATCGGATTGTCAGGATACTATAGGAGATTCATAAAGAATTATGCAGCTATTACTAAACCTTTAACTTCATGTTTAAAAAAGAACTCAAAGATCGAACACACACCCGAATTCATTAATGCCTTTAACACTATTAAGAAAATTATTAGTAACCCCCCAATATTAATTTATCCAGACTTTAACAAACCGTTCAATGTGACTTGCGACGCTTCAAATTTTGGCTTAGGAGCAGTACTTTCTCAAGGTCCTATCGGACAAGACAAACCAATCATGTATATAAGTCGAACATTAAGCAAAACAGAAATAAATTATTCAACTATCGAGAAAGAATGCCTTGCAATCATTTGGGCCACAAAATTATTTAGACCTTACATTTATGGACAAAAGTTTAACATAATTACCGACCACAAGCCTCTTCAGTGGTTATTCAATCTAAAAGAACCAAATTCAAAATTAATAAGATGGAGACTAAAATTAGAAGAACATGACTATAACATAATTTATCGCAAAGGGAAAAACAACACAAATGCTGANACGACGCGGTCGGGAATAAACCGGAACTTCGTCTTTTAATATTAATTTCATTTTTATACCAACTTCACTAATTTTTTCAGGCTTATAATTCTCGATCATTTCTATTACGGTATTACGATGGTCAGTATTCGTTATATAAGATAAATCGACATCATTAGAATTTTCAATAGCGTTGATACACAAAATTTCGGGAATGTCGTCGTTATTTATACCTGTATCGGCAACCTTTGATATTTCTATTCTACCTGCTTTGACTGTAAGATTAACTTGATTTAGAAAATCAGTCCCCATTAATATATCATATTTCAATATTTTACCTGGAACGACATGAAATTTCATACAGTAACTAACATTATCGATTTTTACGTCAGTAACAAATTCGCCAAGAGTTTCATTACCTGTTGACCCTTGATGGAATTGTGGGAGAAATAATCAGGATTCAATATTAAAATAGAGATTTACTATAACCACTGTGTTCTTCTTGACATTTAGCATGGAAAGTACAACTTGACTTAACAAAAGCGACAGCATCGATAAATAGCGCCATCTATCAGCAATTGTCTCACATTTAGGACATCACAAACTGTTTGGTTTATACAACTTATTCTAACACCTACCCTTAAACTAAACAGTCTGTAAAGCAAGATTAGAAATACAATTTAAATGCTTATCTTTACACAAAGGTTTGGTTGAAACATCTGCAGGCATATGTTCAGTAGGCAAATATTCTAAATCATCAATTTTGTCCTTTACAATTTGTCTTACATAATGATGTTTAATATCTGTATGCTTACTTCGACTATGATTAATCTGACTATTACATATTTTCTGTGCTGACTATCACTATACAGAGTCACTGACAACAATTTACCTAGACATTCATGTAAGAAATTTCTGATAAATGTAACTTCCTTAGCTCCTTCACATAAAGCCATGTATTCACTTTCAGTAGTTGAAAGTGCGACCGTTCTCTGTTTGCGGTTTTCCCACGATACGACAGAGTTACCTATTTTGAACACATAACCCGTATATGAACGTCGGTCTAGTNGGAAAACGGATGGTGAATTACATAGACCAAAAGGTACTTTCAAAAATTCATATTGACCTGTAGGGGTAATAAAAGAGGTATATTTACGACTGTCTACGTCTATAGAAACATGAAAAAATCCATTCTCAAGATCTATTGTACTAAAAACTTTTGTATTTTGAAGTAAATCTAATTGATCTTCTATTAACGGCAACGGGTACCGGTCTTTTACTATCTTTTTGTTCAGAGCCCTATAATCGATACATACTCGCGTAGACCCATTCTTTTTTTTTACTAATACGATTGGACTAGCGTATTCTGATGTAGATGGTTGAGCTATACCTTTATCAATCCACGTTTTTATTATATTATCAACTTCAAATTTTTCGTGAGGAGACAAACGACGCGGTCGGGAATAAACCGGAACTTCGTCTTTTAATATTAATTTCATTTTTATACCAACTTCACTAATTTTTTCAGGCTTATAATTCTCGATCATTTCTATTACGGTATTACGATGGTCAGTATTCGTTATATAAGATAAATCGACATCATTAGAATTTTCAATAGCGTTGATACACAAAATTTCGGGAATGTCGTCGTTATTTATACCTGTATCGGCAACCTTTGATATTTCTATTCTACCTGCTTTGACTGTAAGATTAACTTGATTTAGAAAATCAGTCCCCATTAATATATCATATTTCAATATTTTACCTGGAACGACATGAAATTTCATACAGTAACTAACATTATCGATTTTTACGTCAGTAACAAATTCGCCAAGAGTTTCATTACCTGTTGACCCTATACCATCAAACTTAATACTATTTCGCGATAATGCGGGTGAACCTATTTTTACATACTCATCTGTCCGCATAAGAGTCAAATCGCTTCCAGTGTCTATTAGGGCTGTAAGCTTATTGTCCTTAACTACAACTTCTTTGACGAGTTTCTTCTTAGCTGCTTGTGTAATGCTGTTGGTTTCCTTTGATTTGCTGTTCGATGCTGTTCCTTGACACTTCGACGCTATATGACCGTAGTCATTGCACTTAAAACATTTCACACCTTTTCCTTTATTGGGACAATCAGCACTTAAATGTTCTAACGCACCACAAATATGACATCTTTTCACTTTTTTATCATGTCTAATTATCTTCATATTTTTATCACTACCTCGTCTAAATTTACTATCGTCTTTATAACTATTTTTTACTTTTGTCATTTCACTTTTCATGCATTCATATTGCATGAATTTTTCTTTAAGTTCGCGCACTGTTTTTGCACCATACAAAATACTTTTATTTACAGGATCATCAGGAATACCCTCGATAATATACTTAATAACTGTACGTACATCTATGTCCGCCTGGCTTGCGATATCAAGCATTTTGTATGTGTACTCCTGAAATGTTTCGTCCAGCTGTTTTTTTCTGCCCACTAACTGACGATGAACTTCATAGCTGTCGATTACTTCTTTAAACTCTGCTGTCAATGCATTTTTCAACATTGCCCAATTTTTTGCACACTTCTCGTACCTTACAAATAACTTTGCAGAACCAGTAAGCAATCTTTTTGCATATGCTACTTTCTGCATGTCTTTCCACTCACATAAGTTTGCCATCTCTTCGAAATCTTCAAGCCATCTCTCAACATTTAATTTTTTATCACCGCTAAATTTTTCCAGCGACTCTTCTACATCGCGAAAAGTCAATAGAACTTTATCGCGTGACCTTCTTTTATTTTGTTGGTTGACGGTATCTTCATCATCTTCACTTGAATCATTTTCGGATGTATCATTGTTCTCATGTAAAGCCTCACGTAACCGATGACGCAATATTGCCTTTGTCCCATCCACAGAAAGACCTAGTTCTTCCAACTTTTCACGTAATTCTTCCACCTTCATCTTTTCAATATCTTGCTGGCCAACCATGGTGTTTTTGAAACAGCCTTTTTCANTTGTGTCTCGTAGTTGTTGATCCAATTCTGTGATCTTCAAGATGTACGCTTCCATATCATTAAATTGTTCCAATTTCAATCCAAACAATGTACGTAAAAGTCCGAGTCTTCTACACAACCCTTTGTCTTCATACGCCGTTTCTAAGTTCCGCCAGGCTTCATACCCAGTCGCTGCGTTTCGTACATGAGAGAAAGACGCCGACTGCACCATTAAACATATTTTTGCGAGAGCTTTCAGTTGTTTGCGTTCATCGGTGACCTTGGGGACACCCGCTGTAGACTCTTCGATGCAGTCCCATAAATCTTCATGTACCAAGTGCATACGCATTAAGAATTTCCAATTTCCATAATTTGATATTCCACCGAGTTTCTCAAAATTTACTGAAATTCCTACACTTGTTGCCGATGTCGCCATTGTGGACACACACGAGTATTAACTTGCCGGTTCTATTGGTTAATTTTGCACACTCGTCTGGCGTTTTGCATCAAAAATATTTCCCGCGTATCCTGGGCCCATAACCTGATGGAATTGTGGGAGAAATAATCAGGATTCAATATTATAATAGAGATTTACTATAACCACTGTGTTCTTCTTGACATTTAGCATGGAAAGTACAACTTGACTTAACAAAAGCGACAGCATCGATAAATAGCGCCATCTATCAGCAATTGTCTCACATTTAGGACCTCACAAACTGTTTGGCTTATACAACTTATTCTAACAACCCTATACCATCAAACTTAATATTATTTCGCGATAATGTGGGTGAACCTATTTTTACATACTCATCTGTCCGCATAAGAGTCAAATCGCTTCCAGTGTCTATTATTAGGGCTGTAAGCTTATTGTCCTTAACTACAATTTCTTTGACGAGTTTCTTCTTAGCTGCTTGTGTAATGCTGTTGGTTTCCTTTGATTTGCTGTTCGATGCTGTTCCTTGACACTTCGACGCTATATGACCGTAGTCATTGCACTTAAAACATTTCACACCTTTTCCTTTATTGGGACAATCAGCACTTAAATGTTCTAACGCACCACAAATATGACATCTTTTCACTTTTTTATCATGTCTAATTATCTTCATATTTTTATCACTACCTCGTCTAAATTTACTATCGTCTTTATAACTATTTTTTACTTTTGTCATTTCACTTTTCATGCATTCATATTGCATGAATTTTTCTTTAAGTTCGCGCACTGTTTTTGCACCATACAAAATACTTTTATTTACAGGATCATCAGGAATACCCTCGATAATATACTTAATAACTGTACGTACATCTATGTCCGCCTGGCTTGCGATATCAAGCATTTTGTATGTGTACTCCTGAAATGTTTCGTCCAGCTGTTTTTTTCTGCCCACTAACTGACGATGAACTTCATAGCTGTCGATTACTTCTTTAAACTCTGCTGTCAATGCATTTTTCAACATTGCCCAATTTTTTGCACACTTCTCGTACCTTACAAATAACTTTGCAGAACCAGTAAGCAATCTTTTTGCATATGCTACTTTCTGCATGTCTTTCCACTCACATAAGTTTGCCATCTCTTCGAAATCTTCAAGCCATCTCTCAACATTTAATTTTTTATCACCGCTAAATTTTTCCAGCGACTCTTCTACATCGCGAAAAGTCAATAGAACTTTATCGCGTGACCTTCTTTTATTTTGTTGGTTGACGGTATCTTCATCATCTTCACTTGAATCATTTTCGGATGTATCATTGTTCTCATGTAAAGCCTCACGTAACCGATGACGCAATATTGCCTTTGTCCCATCCACAGAAAGACCTAGTTCTTCCAACTTTTCACGTAATTCTTCCACCTTCATCTTTTCAATATCTTGCTGGCCAACCATGGTGTTTTTGAAACAGCCTTTTTCAATTCACAACAACTTTTACACAACTGAAGATCCGTCGGATCACTACTTTCGTTGTTTGAATGTCTTTAATTTTTCTCAACACCACGCACAGATACGAAAATTGTCAGTTATCGACGTTGTTATTAATTTCGCAAGTCACAGTTAACGATTTCACTGTATCCCGGACGAGCCCCCAAAATTATGTAGGGATATAACAGTAACGTTAACAGGGACGTGTAAATATAACGATTTATTAAAAGAAACAAGTTATAAGATGAATAAGATTAAGTTAACAGAACATGGAAGTTTTACATGAATGAGCCAAGCCCTCACGACGTCTAACCTTTTCGAGGGTTGTTCTTAGACTCCCGATTCCGTCCTTTTTAAAATTGTACAGTAATCGGTACTTCTTGACCGTCCCAGAGGTCTTTTTCTTTAAGCAACGGTAATAAACTTTATGACAGGATTGCGTCCGAGGATCTGGCTGCTACATGTACATTTTCAAAATATAAGTAAATAATTCTTATGACTATAATAACTTAAAATTTAAACATTAAGAACTAACTAAGAACTAAGTCATGTCTGCATACTACATAAGCATCTGAATATTTGAATGTAACGGAATTAGTATAAGATTGCAAAACTTTTTCTGAAATAGGAAGGGAAGATGTATTTTCTTCACTTGTGTGTACTGTCTCGTTGTCTTCAAGATCTGCAGGTGTTGGTAACTGTAATGAAGTATTACCAATGATATCATCGAGTACTTTCGGGGAAAGTTCGTCGGTTTGGTCTACATTTGGAAATAATGAAATGAGATCTAAATCGTCATTGTTATCTTATTCATTATTATTAATTTCAAAACGACTTAGAGCTTAAACTTAAACTTAAACTTAAACTTAAACATAGTCTTCTTTACCGCGTTTATAACCTATATCGAAATTATATTAGCCTAATTTTAATTTCCATCTAGTTAATCGAGCATTAGGTTCTTTTAATTTAAAACGTCAGGTAAGGGGTTTGTGATCTGTTTCTACATTAAATTCTCTTCCGAATACGTACGGGCGAAAGTGCTTACAAGAGTCAACAATGGCGAGTAATTCTTTTTCCGTAGTTGAATAATTTTGTTCTACCGAATTTAAAGTTCTGGAATAAAATGAAATGGCATGTGAGTTTTGGGAAAGTACTGAGCCTATTGCTAAATTACTAACATCGGTGCTGATGGTAAATGTTTTAGAAAAATCGGGGTAGGCGAGAACGGCTGCGTTAGTGATAATCTCTTTTCATTTATTGACTGCGTCGATATATTCTTCATTGTTATGATTGATTTTTTCACCTTTTCTGAGACATTTTGTAAGGGGTTTTGTGACTTTGGCGAAGTTTTTAATAAACTTTCTGTAGTATCCGGCTAGTCCTAAAAAGGCTTTAATGTCTTTTTGTGTTTTAGAGATAGGGAAGTCTTGGATGGCTTTTATTTTCTCAGGATTAGGTTTGACTCCTTCTGGGGTGATCACGTGTCCTAAGAATGGTACTTCCTTTCGTAGAAATTCACTTTTATCTAATTGAATCTTCAAGTTGTACTTAGATAATTCCTGAAAGATTACTTTCAAATGTATCAGATGTTCTTGGAGTGATTTTGAGAAAACGACTAACGTCGTCCATGTATACGAAACATGATTTATGTAAAAATTTAAGAAGTACATGGTCCATCATACGCTGGAAGGTGGCTGGTGCGTTTTTCAGACCAAATGGTATCCTAACGTACTCGTAATGACCATTCTCGACAGTGAATGCAGTCTTCTCCAAAAATTTAGGGTCCATTTCGATTTGGTGGAAACCTTGAGCCAAATCAAGTGTACTGAAGTAGGTGCACATACCTAAATTTTCTAGAATATCTTCAACTCTAGGGAGAGGATACCCGACTAACAATTTGGGTTAATTTTTGTATTAGGACCTTGTAAGGACAACCAAGTTCCTTACTTGGTTCTAATAAGGTAACCCGACAAGGTCCTAGTTCAAAAAGTAACGCACTACCGTGTGCGTTCCTTACTAGGAAAACCTGATTTAGGGAAATAATAGGGATATAACATGGACTAAATCAGGAATTTGATAAATTTTCTAGAATTTGAGAATCAGGTTGTTTTTAAATTGCGCTTATTTTTTTTTTTTTTGA